GCTTAGTGAAAACACACTTTTACAGATTGGGAGTGCTATGCACTCCAGATATTATTTTTGCCATTATGACCAAAAATTCTCTATAAAACCCTATTTAGGTGCGTTTTCACTACTCACGGCTCGATTAACATTCAGAAACCCGCCAATAATTATATCAGAGCAACGAATTGCATAGAACTGGTTGTCTTGACATGCCGCGAGGTGCAGAAATAAATAAATAAATAAAATAACCTGCACACTTTACCAAATAAATATTAGCAGTTGGTTTAAATACCCAAAAAGTACGGATTAATCTAAAATCAACTGCTGAATCGGCGTTGTCTGGGGTGGCAGACAGACGCCCGTAGCGGAAAATTGTTTCGCCGCCCGCATATGTGCGTGTGACATGTGTGGAGCCGGCAGGAAGATGGTGTTCACAATCGCCAGCAGTGGAGGGAACAACCAGGCTTTTATCATTTGTTGCAGGCCTACTGGGCACATTCTTCAACAGGAACTAAGGGGAGCAACGCATACCATGATTATCTCTCACCTCACCTTCACACCATCACATCTTCGACATTACACATTCGTCATCTGTCTCCTTTCTTCTTCCTTTCCTTAAATACCGTAAAATTCCGTTATTAATAAGCCCCGGGCGTATACTTTGCAGAGGGTCAAAAAACGGGTGTATATTTGGGCATGGGCTTATTTTAGGGCATGGGCGTTATTTCGGACGCAATCTGCAGAAGATCAATCTATCAGCAACCTACTAGTTTCAGTGAACCACTATTCACACAGAGCACGGTACACGTACATGTACATCAAACCACAGCTGGAAACTATTTGGTCGTATTACCAAGAATGTAGCGATAAATTACAGATTTGATATGTAAACCACTTGCTATAATATAAATACAAGGCACAACAGGTACCGGCATGTATGCGAACGCACGCTCACGCGCTGGTCATTTTGAGTCCACTTTACGCCTTGGGCTTATTTCGGGCATGGGCGCTAAAACGGACTTGAAGCGTACACGGTCTAAAACTGGGCTTATTATCGGACATGGGCGTTATTTAGGGTGGGCTTATTTACGGAATTTTACGGTATGTTGAAATGTCGCTAGTACTAGTACTTCGAGGTACGCCGATGTTTTACTTGCTGCACTCGCTGACATAGCACTGATGTGTGAGACATGCGCCTAGGTTGGACCAGGATCATTCGACTTTCTAAATGTAATTATATTAGTGCTCCAAACTCAATGAACAATGGATTCCTCGTCCTCTCTAAGTCAATTATGCTCCCCCCCCCCCCCCCCCAGCATACATGTACGCATACATACTAGCACTTCTTGCTTACCAAAGGGCACAGGCTCGACAGTATCATCACGATCGTATTGCGCGTCACTCAGCACCCAGCCGCGAATAGTGCGAAGTGTTGGCGAGTCGGTGCGAAGCTTCACCGCCAGGTTGTGCCTATCACGTGGGTTCGACTTCGGATCCCCTCCTACGTGGATGCCCAGCACACATGGGGCTTCGCCGGTTCCAGAGGGAGTCAACTTGTAAAGTGGAGCGCCACTCTGCCCGCCACTGGAATGCACATAGTGCTTCAGCATGTTGGGAGCCAGCACGACGACCCGATTGGCCGATGGTACCCAGTATTTGCGTTTCTCTGCAAGGGGTGGATCCTCACCATCGCTGTGATTTCCAACTCTGCCTGGATACCCACACAGATAGGCACTCACTTCATCCGGCTCCTCTTTGCCACGAAAGACTGGTACTTGTTGGTCAGGGCCTGGGAGAAGTGATGGATTGTTGTCGAGTAGGTCGACTTTGCGCGCTGCAATGACACCGAAATCGTAGGTGAAGCGGTCTAGCTTGGCCTGGTGAGTAGCCGCATCAGCCTTGCGTACCTTGACCTGGACCTGGACAGACTTGGCGCTCTTTTCGTACTTGTTGGAGACCTTCAGCCATCCGGCCTTGCTATTCTTCCCTATGTTGTCAGTTAGGTAAACTTCCGTTTCATTCAGGTTCCATCTCTCAATTATCTTAACAAATCTATATTGATTACAACCAGTCTCACAGTTCGGGTTCTTTTCCTTTTCAGGAAAAGACACGCAGTAGAGATTGTGTGCCGCAGTAGCAAAGTACACGTAATCGCCGTCGCAGTCTTTGCTCAAATCCTGAAGCAGGAAGCAGGTACCGTAGCCTCCTATTCCGCACTTCTCGCAATCTACCCTGAGATGAAAAATCGACTTGCCCATTCGCTGGTGGACCGGGTCCGTAGAGGCAAAGGGTTCACGAGCATCCACACCTTTGGTTATGTAGATCTCTGACGTGGCCATACCTCAGTCACAACGATAAACGAAGGTCAGATCTACAAGTAACAACCAGCTTCACAGGAGATTGCGCCTGAGATCTCGGCTAGCCTAGTCTTCTGTGAGAAGTGCAATGAGTCCGGTATCCCCGGCGCTCTCAAAACAAGAGCTTGGACAATGGAATGTGCGCAAACAGGTCACGATTATTTTTCTCTCTGTACTGACTGTGTTTAGTGTGCCCTAGTAGTACTGTAGTAGTACATGTAGTAGTCCAGATCTACTACCGCCCGGTACGCGTATGATGAGCGCAGACTGCACTGGCCACACTCCACACTCGACCACAGCCTTAGGGCCCGGTCCCACATGCAGTGGCGGATCCGCTGGTGCGACAAGGTTTTGCGGGAGTGGTGTCGCACCTCTCCTGCGACAAAATGCTCGCGTGGTCTCACATGTGCACGCGTGGCGAACGAAGCGAGCGCGCCTCTCTGACTTCCAAAAAATTCAGTGCAGCTCTCCTGCAACTCAAGCATGCTTTCACTTCGAAGTACGCGTGCACGTACTGATGGTGTACAGTCAGTACTGTGTCTGTGGACAGAACTGTTTCGTCCTTTGTGGACACATCAACGCAGCACTGATGTACTGTTGATGTAGATACTAGGTGTTGGACAGATCGTTGTTTTTGTTGAGTATCAAGCATTAGCTACATGTCGTGGGTTCGGTATTGTTGACTTTGAGTCTTTGTTCTGTATACTATACTAGTAATCTGTAAGAATGGATTTTCCGTTGGGTAGAGGTCGATTGGCGAGACGTTGTCGACAGGCGATGGAGACCGCAGCGACATTTTGTTGCTGAGTACTAGTACGAACTTGTTGAGCAGCACGTCGACGATAACCAATGGCAATGATAACTGCTACAGATACTGGTAATAGTGGTACATGTATCGCTCTTGCTAGACCTACATCACAGTGGTCCGACTGCGTGGTTTTACATGATGGCCATGCTTGGCTGCTCACAGGTCCGGGATTTGGTCTTTGGCCGACGCCGCAGCCGTCGGTTTCAGCTTCTCGGCTATCCACCTATCGCTCCGTATCTCTCTTCATCCCTTGGCCAAACGAGTCTTGACTTCAACATACATGTACAACTGTAGCCGTAGCTGCTCTGACTAAAGTCAAACTGTCCACTTCATGATCGAAAATAAAATCGAACAACACAAATCGCTCACTATGTCAGAGTGTCGCAGGAGCGGAACTTCCGCAGGAGAGTATACGCTCCAAAAATTTTGGAGTAGCGGATTTGAACTTTCCGCCACGGCGGAAGTTCCGCTACTCGCAGTTTCCATGGTGATACACGCTGTTGCGACACCGCTGCAGCGGATCCGCAACTCTCAAGTGCATGTGGGACCCGGTCCCACATGCAGTGGCGGATCCGCTGGTGCGACAAGGTTTTGCGGGAGTGGTGTCGCACCTCTCCTGCGACAAAATGCTCGCGTGGTCTCACATGCTCACGCGCGTGCACGGCGAACGAAGCCAGCGCACCTAGTACCTCTCTGACTTCCAAAAAATTCAGTGCAGCTCTCCTGCAACTCAACTCTCAAGCATGCTTTCACTTCGAAGTACTCGTGCACGTCTGTACTGAGTGATGGAGTACAGTCAGTACTACTACTGTGTCTGTGGACAGAACGGTTTCGTCCTTTGTGGACACATCAACGCAGCACTGATGTACTGTTGATGTAGATACATGTACTAGGTGTTTGACAGATCGTTGTTTTTGTTGAGTATCAAGCATTAGCTACATGTCGTGGGTTCGGTATTGTTGACTTTGAGTCTTTGTTCTCTATACTATACTAGTAATCTGAAAGAATGGATTTTCCGTTGGGTAGAGGTCGATTGGCGAGACGTTGTCGACAGGCAATGGAGACCGCAACGACATTTTGTTGCTGAATACTAGTACGAACTTGTTGAGCAGCACGTCGACGATAACCAATGATAACTGCTACAGATACTGGTAATAGTAGTACATGTATCGCTCTTGCTAGACCTACATCACAGTGGTCCCCCTGCGTGGTTTTACATGATGGCCACGCTTGGCTGCTCACGGGTCCGGGATTTGGTCTTTGGCCGACGCCGCAGCCGTCGGTTTCAGCTTCTCGGCTATCCACCTATCGCTCCGTATCTCTCTTCATCCCTTGGCCAAACGAGTCTTGACTTCAACATACATGTACAACTGCAGCCGTAGCTGCTCTGACTAAAGTCAAACTATCCACTTCATGATCGAAAATAAAATCGAACAACACAAATCGCTCACTATCTCGGAGTGTCCCAGGAGCGGAACTTCCGCAGGAGAGTATACCATGGTATACGCTCCAAACATTTTGGAGTAGCGGATTTGAACTTTCCGCCACGGCGGAAGTCGCAGTTTCCATGGTGATACACGCTGTCGGCTAGCAGTGCCAGTACTGGCAGTAGGGTTGTCCACATTTTTGGAAATATTTTTGCCAAGTTGCGGATGCAAAATGCAGTCTTGTTGGGGCATTATGCATTCCATAAATTCAGCAGGATTTCAGGAAAATAAGAAGAAATTAAAAAAATTCTAAAAATTGAAAAAATCAACCCAATTCGCGAAAATTATGCGACCGTTGTCATGGCAACCAACAAAAATATGGCCGCCTCTGTGTGTACATGGTTACCGTGGCTCACGTGAGAGTCTGGAAAATTCCAATAATAATTAAAGGGGAAGTATACCCTAAAATCAAATTTTCACCAGTTGTAGTCTTCGGGGTGCTGAGTCGAATGGTCTTGGTCCGAGGAAGCTGAGACGCTCCCTTCCTACTTGAATCCCAATCGAACTTGCGCACTTCCACCGAAACTGGGTGACTGCGCCCTACTAGATGGGGATTTGTATGCAAAATCTCACTAAAAGCGCCATTTCGTTCTTATAAAAGCACGGATGACCGCGATTGGCCCATATGTTGTAGTCTTTTGGACGCTGAGTCGACTGGTTTTGGTCCGAAAAGGCTGCGATGCAGCGTTCCTCCTTTATTCCCAATCGAACATGGTTGAAGAAGCGGTCACGTGGTCCTGGTTGCCCAAATCACCTGGTCACCGCGCCAGCAGGCGACAATTTTCACACCAAGGTTCAACTCTTACATATAATATCAGATGGGGTGTAGTAGGTTGCGTGTTTTGAGGCTCCCGTTTTTCCGTAGTTTTTAGGTAGCTTTTGGGGACTAGCCCCAACAGCCTGGGTGGGATGGCTAGCCCAGATCACACTGAGCAGCTGGTGACCGCCGAACAGGTCCATACACAGCTTCGCTCATTGCCTGGCATCGAACACAATGTTGTAGAAGTGCTGAGAACTCTAGCTCGTCTTGAAAGCCAACTCCAGGACCAGGAGAAACGATATCAACGAAGGATTAGTGGATTGAGCTCCGAACTTTCCCAGCTGAGAGAGGACCTGGCCGACACTCGCCTGTGCCAAAATTTGGACATCGGCAATGTTACGTGTGCGTCTTGTAAATCAAACTCCTCCGCCATTGCAGACCTAGAGAGAGAGCAAGAAACAACCAGCCAGAGGCAGCGCCGAAATCGAAAGAAACGTAGTACAGCCACAGAAAGTCGTTCACAGTCCGCCGTACCCGTAGAGAGTTCACGACCCATTGATCCCGAGATGGACCTGACCATGTCGACCAGCAGTGTCAGATCCGACGTTGACAGCTCAAACAACAAGCCGTCCAACTCCCGTACACATGGTTCACCCGGACCCAGCTCGGAGTTGACCCCGCCACGTGTGGATCGCTTGCCGAAATTTGAAGAGATGAGTGAGGATTCGGACGCCACATGGCGACTCATCACCTCCACCAAACCGACAGCGAAGAAGAGAGTCCTGTTTGTCGGAAATCTGATGCATGCAATTACTGCAGACCAGCTGAAGGAGTTTATCGCAGCAAGAGCAGCTGAGGCTGACCACAATGTCCAAGTGTTTGACGTAAAAATATTTCAAAAAGAAAAATCCTCCACTGCGCGTATTGTTGCCAGTGCAGCGGACGAATCGTTTCTCAGCAACAAGCGCTTCTGGCCAAGGCCTGTGTACACAAGAGAGTGGAACTTCGATAAGTACACCCAGTCTGATGCCAGTGGAGATCAACAAACAGCGCAGAGCAGCACCACGACCACCAACAGCAGCAGCAGCCCCACGGACGACAGTAAGAGCGGATACAGCGTGGATTGCGATATCCTAGATGACACCTGTGGAGCACCGGCCCGGACTCCAGGCCAGAAATCACGGGGCTATCAGCGTGACTCGCCGCCAGAGACGCAAGCTGCGAAGTTTAGTGTCACTGTTGGCAACGCATTTGCATCTCTAAGTCAGGATGTGGATAATATATCTGTGCAATGACTGGAAGAAGATTAGGCAACGACCCTGCTGCTCATGAACTGAATATCCTGTCCATCAATATCAGAAGCCTGCGCCACAAACTGCGTGATGTTCTGGATCTTGCTGAAGGAACAAAATCTGACATACTTGTAATTTGCGAAACATGGCTGGACTCATCCGTCACTCCTGGCGATCTCCACCTCCCAGGCTATAACTTAGAAAGGCTAGATCGCAGCGGAAATGTTGGTGGTGGTGTCTGCATCTATTGGAAAGCTGAACTCAACTGCCAACCCAGGCCTGATCTCGTTTCTCCAGGCATAGAATGCTGTTGGATTGAAGTGAAAACCAGCCATCAGCCATGCCTGATTGGGAGCTTATACCGGCCACCAGGGTGCACTGTTTCATACTGGGACTCCTTTGAAGCCCTGCTGAGTAAAGCCTGCAGCCCAACGACGCAGACAATACTTTGTGGAGACTTTAATGTTGACACCAGTCGCAATTGCAGTAATCATATGCGGCTGGCTGATATTGCTACAAGTTATGGACTGCAGCAGCATGTACGCAGCCCCACTCGTATTGGACTAAGAGGACCACCAACTACAATTGACTTAGTATATAGCACAATGGGATGTGCTTCTCCTGCTACGACTCATGCTATCTCCTTCAGCGACCACCATGCTGTGACAACCCCTTTCAACATGGTTCCAATTCGAATTCCTCCTGCAGCTCCTGCACAGACACGGAACATCAGATGTATCAATATGGACCTGTTTCGGCAAGATATCCAGTGTGCTAACCTGTGCTCCATGAAGGGAACCTGTACCGAAATGTG